ATGATTCTATGGCTAATAAGTGTCACAACACTTATCAGCTGCACATTTATTTAAAAGTGTGTTTAAAAATAGGGGAACCAAAAGAGATCGATATGAATAAAAGGCAGAAATACAGTTCTTGCTGAACTGCATCAGTATGCACCATGGGTAATCAGGCTTTGACAGAATGTTACAGAGCAGCATCCACTAACTTTAGCAGAGCCTACACGTGCACCAGAAGCTTTCTCTGTGTGCTAGCCCCACAGGGTATGTGTTAAGGAGTTAAAAATTGATGTGATAGTGAAGGTAATGTTAAAGCTTAATCTTCAAAGTAGAGTTCAGTTTGGTGTTTAAAGCAAATAAAACAACAAGGCAACAGTGTCCTTCTTTGGACCACCCACCTCATGGCAGCTGTTGTATGTCACCTCAAATCCCAAAGAAGGTGGGTGAATGCTGGAATGAGTTGAGCTTTTCGATATATACTCCTTCACCTGAATGATTGGTCAGTTTTTGATATCGTGGTAAAGATGTTCAATAGATCCTCTGACTGTCAGAAGAAGCATTATGTAAATCTTATGTCAAATATACCTTTTGCATTTAAGTATCTCAAATATTTTCAGGATCCATTAATGAAGATTTTTGTAGACATGTTTCAAGGAAAATTGGTTTGTAGTATTATAATGTAAAATGAGATTATATACACATTAAAGAAAGTTACTGCATGCCAAGCTGTTTTCTGTGATGTTTCTTCTGAGTGGCTTGTAAGAAGTTTATATATCAGACTTCTCCTGTGCTATGTCTGAGGTAGAGGAAAACTTCAAGAAGTCTATTTCTTAGTGGAAACCACCTAGCCGGTTACTGTTACTTTCTGCACAGCCAAAATTCATATTTCTGGAATGTGGAGGTTAAAGTATTCTTACAGTCTCCCTTAATCCTGCAATCTAGCAGCAGCAATATGGAAAACAAAATATCAGACTACAAACATCTGTTCTATCTGCATAAAAGCATAATAATATGGTAAAAGGTAATGCTTCTTTGTGCTCAAGTAATACCTCAGAGATGCCTTTTAAAGTAGCAGAACATTAGTGGATCAATTTGGTTTTCAGTGGATCTATGTACAGGTTCAGTGTCCAGTATGACCTTGTCACCAAGGTCATTCTGCCGTCTCTCTGAGATGAGAGACACCCGCAGAAAGTTGTTCTTCTGATCCTAAAAGGAGTGTAGGATCTAAGGCAGGATCTAAAAAGTGTTTATGATAACCAAGTTGTGAGTATAAGATAGACTGCTTGAGCAGTTGTTAATATTTGTTACTTAGCTTGCTTGCTAATTCCATATATGTGTATATATAAAGAGCCAAGTTTTCAACTAAAAGGCAAGAAGATGCATTATATTTGCAATTTTTAAGTTTCTGAGGGAGATCAATAACAGTGTGCACAGAACATGTTGTAAGAAAAAATAATTCTTGCCAATTGCTGGTGTTAGGCTATTTAAACCATTCAACTAACATTTTTGTTGCTTTAATAAACTTGATTAGGCTTTCAGGGTGTAGTACATACTTCCACATTACATTGCACAATGCTAGCCAGGCTACTGCTCAGCACTCATGTCTCAAGCAAAGAACAAGATACTTCTGATGATAGCTTGTGTATGAGCACTCCAGACGGAAGATAAGTTTGTCAGCAATAGATTTGGGAATACACACAAGGAAGAAAGAATTACAGAAGAAAGAACAGGAGAAAGACTCATCTGTACCTGAAACAAATAGAGATATGATAATGTTATTCTATGAACTCTGAATAATACTGAGAAGAAACAAAAGGCTGAAAATAAAGGAATTGGAAACCAATTGATAATTGGATAGATTGTCAACATCCCTCAGTTTGCTCTTGATAAAAATGCACTTGGAGTGTCAAGCAAAAAATACAGTAGCATTTCACCTTCATCATCAAGGACAAAGACATTTTCAAATACAGTATGCAGTATGAAGTATTGCCAGTTTGTCTGAAAGCTTTTTATAACGGCACTATCTTAAATTAAAGATTGCCATTTGTCTCCTGTAGATGCTCTCCTGCTTCTCTGTTTACTGGTGGTTTGACCTCAATATGGTTGATTTTATTTATATGGCAATTGAGCATTTTCTCAAATTGGGAACAGCAGTGGTAAGCAGGTGAATGCTGCTTTAATTGTCCAGATTCTAAACACAGCAAGATTACACATATTATGGGTTGATTTCTTT